TTTCTATGTATTGCTGGCTGGTGTTTTTACGTGCTTGTAGAGTAGAGGTGTTTTCTTTTTTTTTTTTTTCTTCTCATTTGCTCTCTTTTCTTCCCCCAAGTTCCTCTTTTTTTTTTTTTTTTGCGCCCGTGCCCTGTTCATTTTTCATCGCTTTGTTCAGGTGTTCTTGTGTTTTTTTTTTTTTCTCGGAAAAAGAAAAAACACAGTGTGAGGATGCCGCGCGTTGTCACAGTGTGAGGAAAATCTACTTTGGAAGAGTTGTAGCAAAATAGGGAAGAAAAGTAGAGAGCTTTGGACGACACCGACTGACATCGTCCCTGGTTTGCAGCAGCGGTAGCGGGCACGGGCAGGAAGCCTGCCGCTGCAGGGAACGCTCATCTTTCTCCTGGAGTGGGAGAGGCAGGCAATGTATTGTCTTGCCGGGACTTGCCGGGTCTCGCGACTCTCGTCCCATAATTGTTGGTGTCAACGTCCCTGATTTTGCAGAGCATGTGCGATTAGTATTTTTCCGGAGGGGGAAAAGAAAGGACTCTGTGAAAAAAAAAATTGTGAACAGTCTGACGTGAAAGCGAGGATGCGGTAGGTCAGGCAGGACGCTACCGCAGGAATGTGTTTCTTGAAGACCGCGCTCTGCTGTGCTATCAGTCAGTCAGTCCCAGCCTGTCTCAAAATTTTTTTGCGTCCACTGGCAGGCAGCGTCACCGACATCGCACGCATCCTCTGCTGTTGTGCTGGGGGAGACATTGCATTGGGACGCATCCTCTGCTCGGCGTCCGTCACTTCTTCGGTTACTCTCCACTGTCCTGATGGTCACAGTTTGTACCGTCCGTTCACAAGCTGCACAGTGCTCGCCTTCTAATCTCCCGCTCAGCTGCTCATAGTGTTCGAAACAGTTTTGGAAGCCGCATCGCTGCTCTGTGCTTTTCTGATTGGTTACAATCAAGAACGCTTATCCTTTCATCTAACGCACACAGTTTCATCGGGATTTTGTTAGCGCACACACACTTGAATGCGCACATGTATTCACACACACACACACACACACACACACACACACACACACACACA